AAGTTGTAGCAATGTCTGGTGGACTGTCAATTATCTGGAAGCCTGCACTCTCAAACAAAAAAATCTCCACACCACAAGCCAGGCAAACACCTGGGCACAAACCGACTCCCCCTGATACCTCCAGCTCAAACACACCCCAACCAGGAAACCAGATGAAACTTAGCTTCCTAATAAATGATAGACATCCATTTACTCGGAGCCAAGCCGCACTAAAAGCCTCCAACACATGAAACACAATGTTGCCAGCCAATCAAGACAAAAAAAGTCACAAAACAGACAGAAGATATTAGAAACACCAATCAAGCAGAACACAGCAAACTCCAAGACCAACAAACACAGACCAAGACTCCCAATCAATCAGGATGAAGAAAAAAACCATTCTGGCACAGCGTAGGCTAGCACCAAATTTAAAATAGAAACGGCTGTGAAAGTCTGACTCACAGACGAACACTATACAGAATCCTGATGATGGCAGATGAGATTCTGCCGAAACGTTGCTACAACTTTAAAGCACAACTATAATGACGTGGGAAAATACCCAAACAAAACTGAATACCATAGATATAGATATAGATATAGATATAGATATAGATATAGATATAGATATAGATATAGATATAGATATAGATATAGATATAGATATATAACAAATTCATTTGTAAGTTCAGTTCTCCTCTATCATTTGTAAGTATTTCTACCAGAAGAAGAGTGATGCTGTACTTGAATCCAGAAGTCCTTCAACTTACCTGTACACATGGGCCTTGGCTTGTTCCACACAGGTTTCCCATCTCCTTCCATGACACATGTCACAGTGGACACTCCTTCAATCACATAACCACTGTCACAGTAGTATGTGATTGTGGAGCCCAGTTTCAGCTCACTTCCAGCTCGAGTTCCATTTTTAATCAGACCTGGATCAAAACAGGATTCTCTGGGGTTTTCTGGAAAAAACAAAATCTGAACATCAATTTTCTGATACTTCTAGCCTTGTATTTTTAGGCTAAGCTCAATTCCATTAGAATTTTGTGGAACAAGAAATGCTCCACTATCTGGAAAAGCCACATGTGACCATTTTAGATTACAATAGGTATATACAGGAACAAAGTCAAGAATATGTTAAAGAACCTGGAGAACACTGGTACAAAATTATATATTTATTATGTTATCATTTTTGAATTAGTGACATAAAAACAGAAGAAAAAGAACATGCAAAGCTTGTACAAAGTACAGATAGTATCAAAGAGAAAGAAACAAGCAAAGTGCATTTTTAATAATAAAATATAACGAAGAAAAAAGTATATCAATTAACAGTAAAAATGTGGTAGAATGAAGTCTGGATTCCCAAAAGGGAGGGGTTGCCTCCCAGAGGACAAAGAGGCAGTAGAACTTGGAAAGTTCAGCAGGAAGAGGTTAAGATGGTTTCTCTCTAATAGTTCACAGAATATATCTATAGTTTATACACATAGTTGCTTTATTCTGACAAGATTCTGCCGATAGGTAAAGAACAATAAACTACTCTTAAATAATTTCACATGTCATTCTTGCTTCTTTGGCCTGACAAAATAGTTACAATTCTAGAGAAGTTCCAAAGGTGCTCTTTAAAAGGCAAGTCTAGTTTCTTAGTTTCTTAGTTTCTTTCTTAGTTTCTAAGAAAGTCCAGTTGCCCTTTGAAAAGCATCTTTTGGACAACTATGATCTGGTTATTGAAAATCTCCATGGACAATTCTACAGGTAACTATTTAATGCAATTATTATTCAAATACGTACAGCTATCTAATACACTGATATAACTATTATTTTAACCTATTGTATTTTGTATCAACAAGGTCCATATTTTATATTTGTCCATACAAAATCTACATCTACAGGCAGTTTGTTCATAAGTGACAAGCGCAATCAAGTCCTCAATCCATTGAGTAAAATGTGCCATACATTTATTTTTCTAAAGGTGCAATATCAATCTTTAAGCTGTAGAAAAGGCACAGGGAGAATCCATTTACAACCCATTTACATTGTCTGATTGTCAATTCCAAGTACTAGCTCAAAAGATTGTTTTTGTTAATCATGATAACTACAAAATTCTTCATCGATGGCTAAACAACCATTTCTAGGTTGTTCATTCAGGAACAAATGGGTGAAATTCCCCAGTGCCAATATTGTAAAGTTAGATTTACAGCCCTTGAGATCAGTCTCTGCAACCTGAAATGTAGCAGAGCAAATTGTTGAATTCAGGATTAGTGGAATATCTTCTTATTGATTCTAGACTTGGCCTGCTCAGAGGCCAATTACTGTCTGCCTGTCACAAGAATGGATGTTGCAAATCTCTTCGTTTCAGCTCAGAGGAAAACAGAGGTTCTAGTCTTAAGCCATGTCTAGCCAAGGAGAGACCTCATGGGTCTATTAATCAAGAAATGTCATATTATTTGCCTGTTGAAATGTAGGATCCTACATTTCTGTTTTTTGCGTCTCTGTCTGAAAAACATGCCTGAAAGCCTGAAGAAACTCAGGCCCAGATCATTGCTTATGTTTGCTGGAGATCTAGGACTCAAGATAGGTTCAAGCAGGGCACTCTGTACGGTTGTGTGTGTGTGTGTGTGTCAAAAAAGGCAAACTGGTCATGTGATTGATGATTCATCCTCTTTTAATGAGCATCACAATATACATTTTTAAATTTTATTATTGTCTTTATAAATGAATTTATAAATTAAAAATAATTACTTTATTTATTTATATTAAAAACATGGTGTGATCAAAGTCATACCAACAATATTTCAGCAATTTTTGCAATGCTTGCAGGGTGGAAGAGAGGGTAAGATGTGAATCACACAACTTGCAGCAGCCATCTTGACTGTTTTGTCTTTCCTCATTCAGAGACCCCCAGGATTCAATTCCAAGAAATATTGGGGAATGCCATATGGTAAAAAAATGATCCATTGTTTAAAGAGAAGATGACAGCCCAAACTCCAATTATAAGTTTTGTTAAGGATCCCTCCTTATGAAAAACAACAAGGAAACAAACTGCTTTTCTGAATAGGCCAATTACTATCTGCACTGACTTTAAATATAATGAGGCTAATGTAAAATTATACTCAGGATGGAGATAATTCCAAACAATGCTATAACTGTTGGAAAAGAAAGAGTAGGATCTGACAAATAGAAATCAAGAATAATAAGGTATTAGGGAGATCTGGTTTGAGCTTCTTTGGCGACAGACTGAAATCTGTGACCGTGCACAGTTTCGATCTGTGCTCGCTGCTGCCCCGAGCTGGCTGGTTTCAGGGCTAAGCCACCCCATAGAGGTGGTGAAGAGGGGGGAGACTGCCAGCAGAGTCGAGGAGAGCCGCATCTCTCCTCCCCAGCTGGCCATTACTCCCTTTCCTGAAGGCGGTTGCAGCGGTGGTGAGAAATGGCCACCTGAAAGAAGAACTCGACTGGAAAAGAATGTGCAGGAGGAAGATAAGAAGAAAAAGTTTTGGCTGACCAGGTCGAACTGGAAAAGCAACAATATAAGGTACCCTGGAATTTGAATTATAAAGAACAACATTGTTCCCAAAGAAGACTTTGAAGCGGCGAATGAGAGAGGGAAGGGAAAGGATTTGGGTTTTTTTTTCTTTTCTTCCCTATATTGACAAGTAAGAGATTTAAGCAAGAAATCGGCAAAAATCCACTTTGACATTAACAGGTATTTAAAATGAAAATAAAATGTCAAAGGGATAATAAAGATTTTTGGATTCTCAAAAACTTTTAAAAGAAGGAAAAAAAACAAAAGGATGGGATCTAGAAAAATGGAGGAGACCACCTGGAAGTGAAAGGAATTAACAGTGAAACTTTAACAAGATTCCTAAAAGATACATTTTAACTGAAACTTTGTAACAAGATAAGAGAACCCCAGGAAGAGAAAGTGGAAAAAATAAGCAAAAAGAAACAGCTTTGGATTATTTGGATTACTTGGTGATTTTTGGATTTTTGGCTATTGGATCTAAAGGACTAAAATCAATCGGGTGGTTGTTTAAAAGTTTTTAAAATGGTATCACTCTTGGAAGAATTGAGAATGGAACTTAAAAACAGAAAGAAGATGCACAAGAAGGAAGAGGTTCTTTTGGCTTCGTATTTCAATTTTTAGAAATGGAGATCCTGAACTATGAGAAACAACAAAAAAATGCCTGTAGAACAAGAAGGGCGGGACAAAGAAGAAGCCATTTTCAATGACCAAGTATTTCTATGTGGGGAAAAGAAAGGGAAGGCAGGGGGGAAGAGAGTGAAAAATTGAAGATCTGAAAAAACAACCCCAAAAAAGAATAGTTTGAAAAGTAATTATAGAGGATTACAGAAGAGAGAATCAGAATTAGAGAGACAAAGGGTCAAAAAGGGAAGGAAGAAGAAGAGGGAGAAGAGGGAAAGGAAAAGAAATTATAAAGGACAGAATCAAGACATAGAGAAACAGGGAAAATGTACAAGACACAGAGATAATGGGGGAAAATGTAATTGAAAGGGGGATTCTGCAAGGGTACATAAGACAGTATATTAGAAATAGAAATGAACTTTGAAAATATGAAACAAGTGTGATTAAAATGATAGATAAAATACTCATTGTAATGTAATGGAATGTTTAATAAATAAATGAAATAAAGAGAATGAAAGAATGAAATTAGGAATGTTATAAATGTGTTATAAAAATTTAAGTGAAGAGGAATATGAAAGAAACATGAAAAAAAATATGGAAATATTATAAGTGTTCCTAGAAGTATGATATCCTATTGAAAAGGAATGTTAAAGATGTCAAAGATTATAACTAACATTAATGATAGAGCTGAATTGGAATAGAATAAGTATTTTATTCATTATTGTTATATATTTTTTTTCTCTTTAAGAACTTAGTGCGTATTTTAAGAATGTACCAAGCAGAATTCGACTGGAAGTTATGTGTTATATTGAATGTTATAATTGTAAAGGCATAAACTGAAGTTTAAATAAGAGTTGAATGGATAAAAATTAAAATATACAAAAGTGTCATACTCCAGTTAGTAACTATAGTGGAAACATTTGTTTAATGAGAAAAGAAAATATGAAATTGAAACAGAACAGACAAAAGTATAAATATGATGACTAGAAAAGTATTGAAACTTAGAAAAAGATATATGTAATTGAATTTAGAAAGGAATGAGATAATTAAAAGTAAGATTGAGAAAACTAAGGGAAGGGAAAATTATTGAGAAAATGTTAAAATAATAATAAGATATGGAATAGAACACAAAGATGAATATGAAATTGAATTTGTGTCTGTATGGAGAAGTGATAACCCGGGACCATACTATTCTCAAAAAAATAAATTTTACTTGTATTATGTTTTGTGAAAACCCAAATAAAAATTTTATATATATAAAAAAAGAATAAGGTATTAGGAGACAGAACCCAGTTTGGGCTAACCCTTCATCACAGCTTTGAGCAGAAAAAAACATCTACGGTGTCCAATTTAGATGTGGAAGAAGCAGAAAGCATTTTTCTTTCAAGAGCTATTTATGGATACAGACAACAAATTATGTATTACAGTGGAGAAAGAACAGCTTTCAATTCCAGTGTTAATGGTGGGTTCTGAAGTTCTGACTCCATAGCCATAGAGCAGATCAGAAATGAGTAGAATTGATACACTGCACTGCAGCTTTATGAAAGTTACCTTGCAAAATGCAGGAATTGCAAAAGCTGATGGAGAGCTCAGTTCCTGCCCCAAATTAATCAAGAAGATGCTGATTGTAATAGAATTTGTATATATAAAAAATCAATCCCTTAAGCATTACTCTGACTGAGCAAATGTCCCTTTCCAGAGTGAATCTCTTAACTTGATGAGCAACACAGCCAAGATAATTGAAAGGTGATTACAGACAGTTCTGTTGCCAAGGAAAGGTCCTTTTTTTTTTAACTCAACAAGGTTTATTTCTAAGCA